TTTTAGTGAACTGGAAATTTGCATTTTTTCAAAAAATCTGCATTTGTCATTTTTTCACAAAGCGAGTATTTACCGAAAAAACGACCGGACTTCATGTAAAAGACTGGTAATCATGTACCTCGTGGTTCATGCGGCTCTATAATGCAATACCTTCATCCCAACCGACGTCCGTTCTCCTGCATGCCGCAAGGGGTCAAAGCACAGTGTATCTAGAAATACAACAGTAGCATATCGCGGGCTGTTTTTGCTGTGCCAGATGCACGTAATAGTTGTGGGCACCAGAAGTGGAAGAAAGGCTAGAAAAGCTAAAATCCCCCCGCCCCCGCTCTCACGGCTTGCACCACGCTCTACCGCATCACGTCCAGCAGCACTCTTCATGACAAAGATCCTGTTCAAGCCGAACAAACGAATACAACCGCACAGGCGTGCAGAGCAAGCTTAAATGTGACTACGTGGAAGAAGCGCAGTGATCGACCGAGCACTGCTCTACAGTACGCCGCCATGCATGCATGCATTATCATCCATCAATCGTTGTGTGCATGCTCTGCATAAGTTGGAATATTCCTCGACATTCTGAATGCTGAGAATTTATCGCACATACAATTGCGTGTATGCAATAAGCTCATAAACCTCCTACGCGCAGCTGACTTTTTTTTAAATTAATCTAAACTAAGAACTCGGGCTTTGCTGTACGTAGCGCTGTCTAGAGTTACGCCACTTTCCGGGCTGCACATAATTGGCACAATCACCACACCTCGCCAGCCGCATCCAGATGATCCATTGCGAGTTGAAGTGAGGCGATAGGAGCACTGCTTACTTCAGCCCCACTTCAAATTTCTCTGAACAGAACGCTCCGCTGTCCTAGATTGTATATCACAATATACAGAGTTTTGCAAACCACTGCGGTCAGGTAACACCATAGCACTAAAAGTCCGCAAGAAACTGTGCAAAAACGCATAATCTCACTGGCTCTCCTGGTGCGTTCCAGCTTGGGCTTCTCTTTCGTTTTTTCCACATTTTTAATCAGTAATTGGTTTTTTCCTTATTTTTAATCAGTGCACTGCTGTTGTTACTATTTTCCTAAGATTAGTCATAAAATGACGTGATTTTTCTAAGACTGTTTAGTAAAAAAAAGCATAGAGAAATCAACTAACAGTTTTCGCCCAGCTCTCATTTCCATCGACATCCAGCAGCAGCTCTAAAAAGCACCTATTAAGCTGTTTTCTTTTAAATTTACATTTCGTCTTCACCAGAACAGTGTAGCCTAAGGAGCGCAAAACATATACTACTGATATTAGCGCTACAGAGATGTAGGCGTACAACGAATGCGCAAGCACATAATTCTGTAATGGACTATTTGTCTCCAGTCGTCATCTCACCTGAGCGCAGCATTTTCCCAATACGCACTGAACTGAGTCAGTTAGCTTTAGGGCATAAGCAGTGCTACAGAAATTTGTCTTACAAGAACAGATACACCTCTAAAACCGTTACGTGCCTTAACTTGCTTTCTTCCCGTCGTTATCCAATCTAATAGGTTATTTTTAGCAATATTTCACTTTCACCATGCTGCTCAGCATCACGGACCAAGCATGATCACTGGCAGAAGGCTGATGACCAGGTTTTCAGGGATTCTTTCCGTGTCAACTTTTCGTAATATAGGTTTCGTGTATGCGCATTTAGTGTAGCTGCTTAACCACTGTTTAATTACTGAGACCTTCGAACAGAACTGTAGGGTCTGCTGGAATTTTTAAAGCAGACACGTCCTCACGCTTGGTACTGCCAACAACTGTGATGCTTTCGAGTGGAATTTTCTAAAAAAACGCTGCAAACTACTTCAGAAAGATGTTTATTGATAATTTTATGCAGTGTTTCCGGCAAGCTTGGGAGTGAAGTACCTTTGACTGGAGCAACTTGCTCAATGATGCCAGACCAGCCAAGAGCGTATTCTCCAACAGTCTCATAAACGTAGAGATCTACTGAACATTTATCCAGAACCTCGTGACTTCCTTCCAGCACATTACAGTAATATCTGCCGTTATCGCTAATCTGGAAAACGACCAATAATAAGAAACTTAGATTATGCCAAAATAAGGCATCAAGGCTGCAAAAAATTGACAACACTTAGATAGATTAGCAAACTGATTCAAAAAATTTTTATATTCAATAAAAAAATGAGTAGTTTCTCCCCTATACAAGGAAAAGAGAGAGTAGGAGAGAGGCAAGCTACGAAGAAGTTGGAAAAAGTGTCGACGGTGGAAACTTTCTTATGACTTTTTCTAATATTACCAAATATGTTCCCCATCGAAATTATCTTTTTTAAACATTGTTTGGATTTCAGTCATACGGAAAGGCGGAAGTAAATGTGAAAACTCAAGCTGGAACGCATCAGGTTCTCTGGTGCGATTATGAGTTTTTGCACTAAACTCGCAGATCACTATTAGCAGGAATGATCCCTACGCTGTAGCCTAACACTTGGGCTCATATTGGCCGCGCTTTGATCCTTTTTGGCATGCAGGAGGAAGGGCGTCAGTTGGGATGAAGGCAGTGCATTATAGAGCCGCGCGGACATCTAGGTGCATGATTACCGGTTTATTGCATGAAGTCTGGTCGTTTTTTCGGTAAATGCTCTCTTTGTGAAAAAGTGACAAATGCAGATTTTTGAAAAAATGTAAATTTTCAGTTCACTAAAAAGTGGAAATATTGCTCGAGCTATTGTTTGTCAAAAAATCCATGTATGCAAATTAACTAATGTTCATTTACATATAGGATTCGGGTTCAAGTCCGGGCTGCGATGAATTTTTTAACGATTTTTGGGTTGAGGAGCTGCTTGAGGTTGTGGTTGGGGTGCTCGACAGCTGAGTTTAAAATCTTCAGCTCGCACGTACATAGATAATATCCTTGCAAAGTTTCAGCTTTCTACTTTGCCTGGTTCGCGAAATCGTTTCCCGCCAACATATTTCTTTGGGAGTCCCGTAAGGGGGTCTAGGCGTGTATAGGGAAGTCTTAAAAGGGGAGGATGACACACGGGGTAGGAACATACATCCAAAGTTTCAGCCTCCCAACTTTCCTGGTTGCTGAGATGAAAGTGGATGACAAAATGCACTCG